GGGGGGGGGGGGGGTTGGGGGGCACCGCCTGCTCAGTACGGAGGAAACGGAGCTCAGAGGCCGGGTCAGCACCCAGAGGATGGAGCTGCTGCCGTGTGGGGGGCTTAAAAATTACAAAGGAGATGGGAGATGTGAAAGGGAAGGGTGGGGGAGAGGGGGGGGGAAGAGGAACACCGGCTGCTTGCTCCCAGCAAGGTGCAGGATTCGTGCCTCGGTGCTGCCACAGCCATCAAAGGAGCTCAGCGCCTTCTCCTCTGCCTTGCACTGGGTGCTGCACACAGCCTGGGGGGGCAGCGAGGCTGTGAGGGGCTCTGGGGTTTCATGGCCCCTTCTGTGGGCTGCTGGGCACATCCTTGTTGTGAGGCTGGGGCGTTAGCAGTTGGAAAAGCAGCAGCTCCCCTTCGTGGGGCGGCTCTCAGGGTGCAGCATCCCCTGCAGCACTCCTGGCCCTGCATGAGGCTCTGAGATCCCCCAGGAGAGCCCACCAGGAAAGTCACAGTCTGGCATTCGTGTCCCACGCAGGCAGGGCAGGACCACGGCACGCTGCTCTCTTTCCTGAGCCCCTTTTAGGCAGAATTCAGCTCACTCTTCCCCACAACACAGCGCTGATGGAGCCCACGTCCCCATCGGGTTCATCTGCAGTGCTGGGTGGGAGGAAAGGAACGGGGCCACAGGCAGCACCAGCAGTGATCACAGCATGAGATCTCTTCGGGGACACCCCAGTACCAATACCAACAGGAGGACCAGCGCCTTCCTCACGGTGTTCTCAGGATATCTGCAAGAATTCACCTGGCAGAGCAGAGCGTGGCACAAGCGTGGCTGAGATGGGGATGAATGTGGGTCAGGTCCAAGTGTGGGCAGCGTGGGACCCCCACCTTACAGGGGGCAGCAGGTGGGCACCCCACAGCGAGGGCTGGGAAGCACATTAGTAGCTCTCTGTGAGACACCAACCGAACTCAGAAGCACACAGCAGTGTTAGCGTCCCTATGGATCTGCACCAGCTGCACAGGGGAGTGAGCACACGGGGACAGTGGGGTGCTGGAGTGGGCTGTGGCCTCGTGCTGGTCTTAAATCCGACAACAGGGAGAGACAGAAGGAGGGAGTGGGGAAGGGAAACAAAGGAGAGGAGGTTCCTCGTGCCTCCTGCTTCACCCGAGCAAAGCCTGCGGCTGCAGCCCCGCCGTCCGTGGGGGATGGTCAGCTCTGATTCTACTTCTGGCTGTTGTAAGCTTTGTGCCTCTGGTTCATGGGGTTTTCTGGAGACTTCATCCACTCCTTCTTGAGGAGCTGCTTGAGCTGGGACAGGCGCATGTTGGGGTTCTCTTGCTTCAGGCGTGGCAGATTGACCTCTTCAAAAGCCGTGAAGGCGGCTTTCATCCGGCGCTCGGGATGTCGGTCCACATCATTGGCAACGCTGGTGGGAGGGAATTCACACAGACACGAATCAAAAACACCTCCCAGCAGGCAGCGCCGCTCGCCCGGCTCTGATCCCCTGTCAGCGTAACCAAGTGAGCACAGAGGAGCTCTGGTGATAAAGCACAAAACCCCACGACACTTCCCCCTTTCTCACTTTAAACACTCCGCAGAACGTCAGGGCTCGTTTAAGGCAGCAGAGTTTGCTCTCATTGTTAAGGCAGAAAGCTGCAAGCACAGCGTAAAAAGTTCAGACAGGTTCTCTGGAATGCCAGGTCTGGGAGAGGGAATGTCTGCAGCAATTGCTTGTAAGGAAAGCAAAAGCTCAAAGAACAGCACCATCACAATAAGGGCGGCTACCTGAGCACGGCAATGGCATCCTCGATCGTCCTGGCCTCCACTGTCCCTTCCTCCAGGACCCGTCTGTTGATGTTCTCCTCCAAGGGGACCTCCAAGTGAGTCTTCTCCTTCTCCACTGCACAGGGAAGGGGAAAAAGGAAGAGTTGTTAACCTCAAATCCTCGCTGTTAACGTCCTCAGGAGAGGCACAGCCTTTTCCAAAGCACTGAGGAAAGCGCAGAGAAAACTCAGCCCCACTGCACAGCCTTGGGAAGTACGAGTGCCCACTTTGCAGCCCTGCTTCTCCATCTTAAGGAGGCAGGAGGTTTCCTTTCCCCCCACATGAATGCTGGGCAGATACAGCAAAGCTGCCTGCAGCTCCTCCTTTCCAAGCACCTCACCCCCCTCCTGTGTCCTCACTTTCCTCGGGGCCTTTCTGTGCTCCCACCAACCTGTGTCTGCATTCTCCTTCTGCTGCTGGTCTTTCCTGATGGTTTCCTCAATCTGGGCCCTGGTGACTTTGCCTGGTGTTGCCTGTTTAGGTGATTTCCCCTTCAGCTTGGAGTCCTCCTCTTCCAGCAGGCGCTGCAGCTCCTTCTTGCGCTCCAGCTGCTCCAGCCGCCGCTTCTCCCTCTCCTCCTGGAACAGAGAGTCACCAAATGTCCCTTACAGGAGCAGGACAGCATCCCTTAGATGGCAACAGGCCTCTCTTCTACAACTAACAGAGCACTGCTCTCCCCCTATAAGAGACACGGGGGGTCCCCAGCAGGACCTGCCCCATCTCCAGCAGCACGCCAGCAAGCCACAATCAGCCCAGAAGGAGCACGGGGCAGCAGCCAGGGCTGCTAACAATCACACTAAGTTCTCCACTTTAATTCTAATAAGTGGTTGGAGGTTGAAAGTTCAGCAGTTGTTTTGTAGACAAGTGTGTGGAGAGGCTGCTCGGGTCCTCGGGTCTGGCTTGCATTCTTCCACGCAGGCAGGGCAGGGGTGAGGCAGAACCCAGCCAGCAACACGGCTCTTGTGTTGATTTTAAGCACTCCACGGGGAGTTCAAGAGCCACTTTGCCCTCCAAGGGCCACTGAAGAGCACGTCAAGACCATGCAAAAGGCCCACAGCAGCTTTCAGCACATCGCATCGATTCCTCCCCTCCCTAATGGAAAAAAAAAAACCAAACCCCAACCCAAATGCAACAACAACCACCATCTCTGTGTAGGTCAGGGTCACGTGCTGCAAAGCGTTTTGTATTTAGGTTAGTTATGCGGACACTTAATTACGGGTGTCATCCATTATTCACAGGGATGGCACAAGAGTGACTGAGCATTAGGCAGGAGGGTTGACTCCAGGCAGCTGCACAGCAGCTCTGCAATCAGCTGTGCTCGGCGCTGTGTCAAAGCTCAGAGGCAGAACGAGGCACATCACGAGGCTGGAGCTTGAGACTTCACCAGGCAAGGAAAAAAAAAACACAAAAAAACAACATTAAGTCGCTCCACGGCTCAAGAGTTTAAAGAAAAACCCATCACAAGGCAGAATCAAAGCATTTGGATGCTGAATCAAACCATGCCCTGGGGCTGCTGCATCCCAGACCCGGTGAGGAGCAGACCTTCACCCCAGGCTGAGATGGGGAAGCCTCACTGGGGCTCTGGCCAAGGATGGGAACGAAGCCATTATGGGCACAAAGCTTTTATTGCAGTTGGCTGCCTGCAGACTCCCGGTCATTAAACACACAGTGCCAATGCCTGGAGGCACAATGCCCTGGCAACCCGACCGTGCAGGATTTCAGAGTGCAAGCTCAGTTATGACACTGGTTTTCTCTACCCGAGTCTTTCTGGGTAGCCTCCTCTTTTTCTAGTAAAGATCAAGGACACAAATGGACCCCCCTGATCAGGGGGCTGCTGGCCTCCCCCCAGGCAGGGATTGTGTCACAGCAGGGGGAGGACTGCCTGTGTCCCCAAGGACAAACCTGCAGTGCAGTCTGCGAGAGCTCTGCCTACCTTGCAGCCACTCCATTCCATGCAAAGCACACGCAGGAGAAGCAGAACTGTGACAGGATGTGGGCAACTTGCCCAGGACATCAGCTTGTGCAAGGAAACGTCCCCTGGCTGTGTCCCATTCCAACACAGGTGTGGCTGAGCAGGGCCACCAGGTGCTGGGCTGTAGGACAGGCTGTGGTTTGCATAATTCAGGAGGCAAAGAAGGAGGAGAAACAAGTGCTGCCGATCTAAGGGAGGGCAGCAAGACGTTTCAGAACAGAAATGGTATTTATAGTTGGAGGAGCTTGTCTTTTACCCCTGCTTATTGCAGAGGAGAGCCGTCATTCGAGGCAGGCAGCCCAGCAATCACTCACACAGCCTGGGATGTGGGATTGGGATGGGATGACAGCACGTCTGACAGCACAGAAATTTGGGGACGACGCTCCACTGCTGCCAGCCCCTTCCCAACAAAACTCCCCAAAGAGGACACAGCCACCTCACAAAGGGCAATCAGGCTGGAGCAGGGTGCAGAGCTCGTCCTGCCGCTCCTCTCCCCCCTCCTGCTGCTGGGAGATGCTGCTCCCTGCTCTGGCATTTGCCATCGAGTTGCTATTTGTGGAAAGCAAACAAGGCAGCACTGCCACTAATTTGTCACAGGCCATGCAAACTCTGCATGCTCAGGTTTCCCTGGAGGACCTTCCACTCCTTGGCTCCCGCTGCGCCCGCAGGCGATGCTCCACACGCGATGGACATCTCTGATCCCAAAACCTTCCCCAGGTTGGGCCAAAGCAAGCTAATCCTTTATGAGTCACCTTAAACGTCCTGATGAGAGGGCAGCTTGCATTTGCGTAAGCGAAACGTAGAGCAGAGCTATTAGAAAACTGGAGGAGAAATGAACAGTTTCCTCCCTCAACACTGCTGCGCTCCGCGGGGCACCGGGGGGAGCAGTGGGCGAGATTGAAGTGGACAATTCTGCTCCCGAGGATTTGCATGTTAAAATGCTGGTTTCCAGCCTCGAACTGAATTGTCTGAGCAAGGAGAAATTCATTAGCTTTCAGAACAGTTCCCCACCTGCGAGACAGGAGGAGAACAAGGTCCCACGCACGTGGCTTTGGGAGCAAGCGGTCAATAGAAGCAGCAGTGCTCCCAATCAACCTCTTAGCATGCAGCCCCAAGGAAGGCGGAGAGCCTGCTGCCAGCCTGGCCAAGCTTCTGGCATGGCAGAAAGGCAAAGTGATGCAGAGAAACGAGGGAGCTGCAAAGAGAGAGAAGCAAACCCAGCGTGCAGCACGTCCCACCGCTCTGCAGGCTGCCTGCTGCACAGCAGAGCTTGGAGATGGGGGTCACCCCCTGCCTTCCTCAGGTCCCACACAAATCCTGTAGTGATGCTGGAGCAAAAGGAGGTTGGTTCTGGGGTCTGAATGCCAGCACTCGCCATCAGGTGCTCACTCTGTTCTCTCTCTGCCCCTGTGTTTCTCATTTAAACCACAGGATTGCAGCTTTGCCAAGTTGGCACCGCACAGCCACCCTCCCAGGAGGGACAGCAGGCACTTCACCCGTTTCACATGTCATCTGAGTAAGACCCACTGCTCACAGCTGAGTAATTCTGCACTGAATCAGAGACACAGTCACTGCTGGCCCGCAGGACGATGCCAAGGATGCTGGATGAGCAGGAAGGTGGTGAGGGCTGGCGGGCAGCTGGCAACCAGCAGCAGGGAGCTCAGCAAGCACAGCACAGCCAGAAGGCAGCCTGAACAGAAAGAAGGGCTGCCTCCCCTGCAGACAGACAGACAGCAGGAGCTGGGGAAGGAGATGGGAACTGCACCTTCCCAGTAGGGACTGCAGCCAGAGAGCAAAGTGCAAGCCCTGCAGCGAGACCTCTGCCCTTGGCAGATCCACCACCAGCCCTCTTCCCGTAACACCTCGGTGCTTTTAATGCCTTGTCACCCTTCCAAGCCCGCCTGCAGCTTCGCTCAGGACACGTCTGCAGCCGTTCCACCAGCAGACACACTTTAGTTAATTGTATGGAGAGAGGGAAAGGTGCAGATTGGGAGCTGTGTGCTCTGAACCGCAGCCGAACTGCATATGAAGATGGGCAGAGACTGAGATACCTGCACATTCATGGGGAAACAGCTCCCTGGGGAGAAAACCTGTGCCTTTCAGCAGGGAGCATGGAGATTCTGTGCTTTCAGCCAGAGCTCTCGAGGGAGGATGGCAAGCTGTGCCTCGTGCTGCAGTGCCAGAGGAGGCTCACACATGGCAGGCTGGTGGCTGAGCTCAGATGTTCCTTCATGCATCACGGAGCCACCAAATGAGTGTCATCCCCCGTCAGCAGGGATCAGCCACGACGGCTGCTCTCAGGGGTTTAAAGAAACCTCAAAACCACCACGCAGAGCCAATGAATCCCCCAGCAAAAAAAATGCACGCTGGGTTCTCATTTACTGCTCAGAGGCCCATCCACGGGGCGAGGAAGGGATGAAAGGCGGTTTGTTCTGCACACGTGTCCTGCTGGGCGATGGCCCAAGGCTTGCAGCCATGCCCACCCGCTCACGACACAGAGCTGCTGTTAACGTGTTACTGCCATCACCTGGAGAGCTGGGGGAAGGCAGGAGGGCTGTGAGAAGGCAGGAGGGCTGTGAGATGCAAGGACGTGGTTCTGCATGCTGTAACCGGGAGCAACACACTGACGGTGCGGCAGCAGCCAGCAGGGCAATTTCCATGCCAGCAACACCAGCAAAACCGGAGCCCTTCTGACAGGGCAGCTCCCCACCGAGCAGACTGCTGCTGCATTGAGCCACGGGTTGCCAGGAGGTTCCTGGGAAGGAAATGCACTCAGACAGCATTCTGGTAGAAGTCAGACCCAGCAGGAAGATGCTCCCAATAGGCTGAATTCCTCTAGGATGTCCCAAGCCCAGGATAGAATCAGCACCTGTTGAGTAATCTCCTCTCCCTCTAACAAATTCTGTGCTTGCAGAGCAGCGTTGAGGGGAAACCACAGCGCTGAGTTCCCTAGAGCCTTGTGTGAGGCTGTGAGCTGGACCCAAATTTTGGAGCTAACAGCCCAGGTGCCCCTGCTGAGGTTCCCATGCCCCTTTCCTGCAGGAGGCTGTTTTGGAAGAGCAGTAAAGTAGGTCACTGCTGGCAAAAAAAAACCCAAAAACCTTAAGCAGTGCAATAATAAGACCTTGTTCCAGGAAGTAATTAAGCAGCATTACAGGATTGTGCTGGGGAACAGCACGCAGGACTCCAAATTCCAAATGTCAGGACACATATCAGGGGGGGAATTCACAGCCTCGGGGTCATGGGGATACATTGGCCTCCTGCCTGCCCAAAGTCAGCACACAGAGCTCAGTCAGTGCCAAACAGAGCAGCACAAAATCAGTAACCCCATAAATTCCATTTGTACCTCCAGTAGAACCCTTTCTAGACAGGGAAATGGCAAACAAATTGCTTCAGAAGAGGCAGATAAGTTGCCCTTAAGAATCACTTCCAGAAAAATGGGCACAACCAGAAGTTTGTCTCATGCTGAGGCAGGATAACACTGCAAACCAAATAACTGCAAATGAGCTCTGATGAACTCCTCTGGTTTTTGAGGTAGATGTGCACTGAGTGGAGTGAGCTGCTAAGAGCAAAGCAGGGAGAATCTTATTTTTGAGAGATAACTGTGAGATGTGGCACACTGAGCTGGGCAGGAAAAAAGTGGGGGTGTATTAAAGCCTGTTGATTTCTTGAATTTCTTTTTGTAGAAGGAAAAATTAAGAATGGAATCCAAAGAAAAGAAACAAAAAGCTAAAGATCTGCCCGGTCAAAAAAAAAAAAAAAAAAAAAAGCAACACAAATAAGAAAATCAAGCCCTACAGCAGAGTTCCTGAGCATTTCCTTAACTCCACGGTTCCTATAAGGCAGCTTTGATTCCCTCCCTTCAGGAGGTGGTTCTGCAACCAGTGAATTCCTCAATCACACATCCAGCTCACACTCACCCCCACACTCCACTCTTTTAGCTCCCAGAGGAGCTGCTCACATTGGCTGCTCTGCCCCAGAGCTGAGTGCAGGGCGACGTGTGCAGAGCCACAGCTTTGTGACAGAGGACCAGAAGTGACCCTTTTCCTTCAGGAGCAGCCTGACAGCCACTCACCTTCCTCTGCTCCTTCCTCATCACGTGTTTGTCGTCATCCTTCCAGTAGGCATCTTCCAGCTCCTGCTGCCTCTTGGCATCGGCTGCTGCCTTTGCCTCAGCCTTCCTTGCACGGGCAGCAGCCGACTTGGTGTTCTCCCCTTGGAACTTCTTGGGCATCACTCACGGTGCTCTGCAAAGAAAACGAGCAAAGAGCCTCAGATCCCCACCAGGCCCTCGGGATCGCAGGGATGCAAGCAGGGATGGAGCCCAGACTCAGAGCTTTGCGATCACAGCCCCACAGCTCAGAGGGGAGCTCAGCCTGCCGCTCCCACATCTCGGCGCTGGCAGATCTCCGCCGTGGCAGCAGCGGCTCAGCACCGCCAACCCCCCCGCCCCCAGCAGCGGCTCCCCCGGCAGCCCCCGCCCCCCGTGCAGCGCCGTTGGGGGTCCCAGCCGCCCGCGGAGCCGTACGAGGGGTCACACAGCGGCAGCACCGCCCGCCTCACGGTCGAAAGGCCCCGCGAGGCCACGGCCCGCAGGCGCAACGCCAACCAAACGCAGCCGGGAGGCCGCCCCCCCCCCCAACCTCAGCCAACCGCTTCTTGGAATTGAAAGCTTCATTTTTAACGGCGATGAGGGCGGCGCAGCGCTTCGGGCCGGATCTCATCGCCGTGTTCATCCCGACCCCCTCCCGAGCTCCCAGCCGCCCCGATCCCGCCCGTCCCGTTCTTACCCGGCTCCGCCGCTCCGCCCGTCGCGCGCTTTGTGCGTCATCACTCCGCGCGGCGCGTCCCGCCGGGTGAGGGGAAGCGACGCCCGCGGCCTCGCAGCGCTCCCGCCGCCATCTTTGTTGAGGGCACAGCACTCGCAGCTCCGGGAGAGCAGCGGAGGAACGGTGGTGAAAGGGATACAGCCCGTATCCGTAACGGCATCCTCATCCCCGCTCGCACGTCGCGGAGCGAATCGCGAGAAAGCCGCTCGTCTCCCACCGCTCCGGTCACCCTCGTGCCCGGCACAAAGATGGCGGCGCGGTGCCAACACCCAAAGATGGCGGCGGAGGGGGGCGTGGCGATATGGGCGTGGCCTATCGGGCGCTGTCACCCAATCAGGGCGGGGCCTAACGGGGTGCGACTCGAGGCCACGCCCCCTCCCCAGCCCAGCATGGCCCTCCTCATCGTGTCCCCCCAAACCACGGACCCCCCCTCCCCAGTCGCCTCTCCCACACAGTGACACACAGACGCTGCGTCCCATGGAGCCCCCGCCTCATTTATTGCCCCCTCCCGGGGGGGTGACACCGACACAGCGGGTGGGCATCGCTGCCCCTACCCCTCCCCGTGTCCCCCTCCTCCCTCTCCCTACACGTGGCTTTCCTGCAGCAGCTGCTCGGTGACCCCGCGGTGCTGGGGGGGGCCTCGCGCCTGCCCTCCCAGCCCCAGCAGCACCGGGGGGGCTTCGGGTTGCAGCCCACCCTGAGGGTCTCTGCAGACCTGCGGAGAGGGAAGGTGTGAGCAGAAGTTGGGAGGGGTGTTTTGGGGGTGTGGTGGTGATGGGGGGGGGGGCGGGTCTGAGGGTGTTACCTTGGTGGGACACCCCCCTGAAGGCACCGTGCCCCCAGCTGGGGACACAGAGGATGTCTGCTTGGTGATGTCCCACCAAAGCACTCCTGGGGGCAGCTGTGCTCGCTTGGTGGGCCCTGCAGGGGGAGAATAGAGGGGTGAGAGGGAGCAGCGTTGGGCAGCAGCCCCCCCAACTCTAAATGTACCCCTGGTGCCCACAGGCTCACCTGCCAGGTAGCTGAGCAGCACCCCTGCCAGCACAGTGGAGAGTGTCCCCAGTGCCCCGTAGTACAGATAGGAGATGGCATAGAAGTCACCCACGATGGGAGGCCTGTGAGGTGTGTGGGGGGGGGGGGGGGGGGGAGTTGGTGGTGACGTCACAGCCATCAGAAAGGCAGTGTGACGTCACAGTGGACAAAGGAAAGGGCAGCGTGACGTCACAGCGAGCAAAGACAGCGGTGTGGTGTCCCGGAGGACAAAGACATCACTGTGACAGGTGAATAAGGAAAGCCGTGTGGCATCACTGTGATCAAAGCAGCACTGTGACGTCACAGCAGTCAACAGCGGGGTGACATCAGGGCAACTAAGGACAGCGTGGTGACGTCACCGGGAGCTGCCCCCAGCCCACCATACAGGAGCAATGGTTTATCCCATCCCCATCCCTGCTACCCGTCCCCTCTCACCTTGCAGGCTCTGTGCCGGGGTGCCGGGGGGGCAGTGGTCCCAGCAGCACTGTGTGGTTGGTGCTGGCAGTGCGGTTGTAGAGCGGGCAGTGGGCTCCAGAGGCAGGCAGGACACCAGCAACGTCGGCAGGGGCAGGGTAGAGGCTGCCACCCACTGCCACCCACAGCGAGAGCGTGAGGCCGACACCCAGACCCCCGAACGCACCCTGGGCGAGCAGTGGAGTCTGCATGGTGCTGGGACCCCCAGCCCCACGCCCCCCCCTCCCCGCCCGCCCAGCACTCACAGCTGTGTTGCACGCCGGCACGAACATGCCCAGCACGAAGGCTCCCAGCAGAGGGCCACCGATGACCCCCATGACAGTGAAGGAGCCCTGCAGGGGGACCCTGAGGTGCCTCGAGGGCTCTCCATCCACCACCAGCCATGCGTGATGGGTGCGGGTGCAGAGCAGGAGGGGTAGGGAGGATTGGGGGGGGGGGACTCACCTGCAGCACACCACCGCCCAGCAGCGAGGCCAGCGCAGCCACCGTGATGCAAGCAGTGCCATAGAACAGTGCTGAGGGGACAGAGGGGTCGGGGGGGGGGAAAGGAGGGGGGGTTGTGACATGGCACGGCAGTGCTGCACGGCATGGCACAGTGCGCACAGCGTGGCACAGGGTGGGTTGCACGGAGTGGCGTGGTGCAGCACGTGGTGGCACGTTGTGGCACAGCGTGGCATAGGGCAGGGTGGCATCAGGGCAGTGCAGCAGTCCCGTCCCCACTCACACAGCCCCTTGGAGATCAACATCAGCCTCCTTGGTGACAGTGTGGGCAGCCGGGGCTTTACCAGGTCCTCCACAGTGACGGCTGCCATGGCGTTGATGCTGGTGGAAGCGGTGCTAGGGGAGCACAGCACTCAGCCCTGCACCAAAGTGAGGGTGGGGAGGGCACAGAGCCTTGGAGACGTCGGGGTCCCCAGGCAGCCTCACCTCAGGGTCCCGCTGTAGGCACAGGCCAGGAACAGTCCAGGTACCCCAGGGGACGTCTGGAAGATGTCGAGGACCAGGTAGGGCATGTACTGGGGGGCACAGCTGTGTCGGGGGGCAGGCGGGACCCCTGTCCCCATCCTTCTCCCTGTTCCTCCTGGCTACTCTCAACTGAGTGCTCAAGAGGACGGATCCGGTGCAGCCGTACCTGGTCAGGGGCTGAGATGTGGCCGGCCAGGAGGGGGTCACAGTCCTTGTAGAGCACAAACATCACAAGGCCACAGGCCACCGCGCTGGAGACGATGCAGAAGAGCCCCACTTGATTGACCAGCAGCGCTCTGCGGGCACAGGGTGCGATCAAAGCACGGCCCCCCCTGGGCTCAGCAGGGCTGCAGGGGTTGGGCAGGGGCCATACAGGGCTGCAGGGGGAATTCAAGGGTGCAGGAGACATGCAGGGTCTGCGCAGAGGTGAAGGATGCATGCAGGATGGTGGGGCTGGCTTCCCAAGGTTCCGCGCATCCCACCCCTGCAGTGCAGCCCCTCACCCCCATGTTGGAGGTGTGTGCCCCCTGCTGCCCCCTGCCTCACATCCTCGCCTCCCTCTCGCTCTTGCAGGCCACGTAGCGCTGGACCTGCGCCTGGTTCACGCCGTACATGGAGAGCCAGACCAGCGTGCCGCCCAGCAGGAAGGTCCAGAAGGTGTAACGGCTCCGTGGGTCGAAGTCAAAGCTGGGGGGGGAGAGTGAGCAGGGGCAGCGCGGGCATTGCAGCACCTGGAGGGGTTTGGGGGGGTGGGGGCACACAAGGACTCACTCGCCAAAGTTCACCCTGGAGCCGTTGGTGGCGATGGCCAGTGCCCTGGTGGGGCCACCCACAAGCAGCAGCCCCCGGATGATGATGGCGAGGAATCCAGAGAGCATGACGAAGACCTGGAAGACGTCGGTCCAGATGACAGCCTTCATCCCGCCCTGCGCCAGCGGGAGCACAGTGAGCGCCAGGAAGCCAGCACCCACAGGGCCCCCCCCCCCCGGGACCCCCACTGTGCACTCACTATGGTGGTGTAAAAGGTGCAGATGGCTCCAGTGGAGAGCAGGGATGCCCAGATGTCCAAACCGGTCACTGAAGGGGAGATGATGGTGATAAGCGTTGGTGCTCGGGGTAGAGATGAGGGGACAAGGACATGTGGATGCTGTCCCTCATGTCCCCCCCATACCTTGGTTGAGGATCAGAGCAGGAGCATAGATGACGATCCCTGTGTACAGCGTCTGTGGGGATGGGGTGGGGGGTCAGAGCAGCGCCCAGTGCCCGCAGGGGGGGATGTGATGTGCTGGTGCTGCCCCAGCACAGCGTGCGGGCGCTGGGAAAACACTCATCTCTCCACTCCAAACAGCCATCCTGCAGGGCCGTGTTTGCTTTGGAGCCACGGAAAAAGCACGTGCGTGGGAACAAGGAGGCTCTTAGGGACCGAGCACAGCGGGGACCCCCATCCCCACATCCCCCCCCAGGGACTCACCGTAGCCATCACGTACTGCAGCGTCCCGCAGAGCCGCACGCTCTGTCCGAACCGCCGCTCCAGGTACTGGGGACAGAGAAGGAGCGTGCAGGTTTGGGTGGGAGAATCCTGCAATGCGGGGGGATGCAGTCCCCCGTGCCTACCTCATAGGTGCTGGTGAGCCCCAGGCGGTAGAAGACGGGCAAGAAGAGGTATGCAGTGAGCAGCGTGTTGAGCAGCTGCCCCAGGCACATCCAGAGGAACTTGGAGCCGTAGTGGTACGCCTCAGCCGGCACCCCCAGCACCTGGATGGCTGACATGAAGCTGGCTGACAGCGAGAGCCCCACCGGCACTGCTGCCATGCGCCGGCCGCCCGTGAAGAAGTCTTCTGAGGTCTTCTGGCCTCCCTTGGACAGCCCGTGGAACAGCCCGATGCCCGTGGAGATGAGCAGCATCAGCCCGAACACGCCGTAATCCCAGAGGCTGAAGGTGAGGGGATCCGGTGCCTGGACCTCCAGGCTGCCCGGCGGTGCCTGCATGGTGGTGGTGTGGGGACAGCCCCCCCCCTGGGCACACAAGGACAAGGACCTGAGGGTGGGATGGGGCACGGTGGTCCTGGTGTTTCCAGGGGCAGTGGCACTGCAGCAAGACAGAGCACGGGGTGGTTATCGAGGTGCAAGGTGCAGATGAGTGAGCAGGGAGAGGAGCATCACCATGTCGCCATCCCTGTGCTCATCCCAGTGGAAGGGTGCAAAGAAGCAGCCCCAGAGAACACCCCAAATACCACAGATGCCCCAAATACCTCCCGGTCTGTGGCAAACAGCACTGCCCAGTCCCACCCCGGAGCGAAGCAGCTGAAGGACACGGCCAGGACACAGTAATCCCCCAAACCCAGCGCAAACACGGAGCGCTGAGCACCACTTATCTCCCGCCAGCGACAAAACAAACCCAAGCGAAACCTTTACCCAGCAAAAGCACCTCCTTTACGAGCTGCTCCCCCAGGGGCTGGCAGGGATCCGGCCACGACCTCGGCGGGCGCAGAGAGCCAGAGGGGCTGGGAGGAGGCAGGGGATGGCGTGGGGAGGGACGCGGAGCTGCGTGGGGCCGCGGCGATAACCC